TCACTAATGGAGGCATGTCCAATCTAAAATGTAGCAAAGCAGGTATTTTACCTGCCTTAGGTAGGCGTAGATCTAATCAGGGGTGTCTCATGTTTTGTTCTTACCTATGGTGGATAGTGGGGTGACACACCATTGTGTGTCCACATTTTATCACCAGAAAGGAGCTCAAAGTGTGCGAAAGAACTCACCGCTCGCCACGTTGAAAGAGCACATCAATCTCCCTCTTAGTATACCAGGAAATTATTTTGTCATACTTTTGACCGTAATCATAGCTCAATATAAGACCCTTTTCAAGCGCTTGCATTTATCCACTTTCAGATTGCTTCAGGAATGAACTTATGTAATAACATCTATCCCAGCCTCACATATACCTGGAATGCTGTTTAGAATCGAATCTGGAACGACCAAGGCTATACTGATAAGATGAAGAACTATAAATTTAGTAGTCATCACTATTGCTATCCTTGCTTTAAACATTGACAATATTGACAGCCAGAAGCCTTCCACCAAAAAAACTTCAGAAGATTACTCTTTCAGAGATTCTTTTACCAGATAATTATTGTTGACAATAGCAATCACACTCTAACTCGAGTGTTGGACCAAACCATTGTGAAGACAAAATCAGGAGCAACGGTTGATTGTGTGTTAACTCACGAAGGAACAACAAATTAATTCCCCCAAGACAGTCTTATGGACATGGGCCCATGTCTGAAAAGTGTCGTCCACAAATATGTCGTTGAGTGGCGTTACAATGACATATTTCTTTAAACGTCGATTTTCCAAAGATCATTCACAGTAAGTCGTTTCAGGATAGGCTGGTAAAGTTGTACTGCTACATAAAATTATATACGGAAAGCACATGAAAGTTTATGATGTATACTCAGCTGTGGTCACCCTCCCTACAACTCTGATGTAAATCATTGCTTTACGGTTGTACTAATCTCGTGTCTCAAACAATAGTGGTTTTTATGGCTAATTTTTCTGGTGCAATACCACAAGGGGGCCAAGTAGTTAAGAAGTTATGTGAAGACTATGGGAAGGAAACGACCGTACGAGGACACGAGGGGGTAGCACCAACAGTATGACACTTGCGATTATGTTGCACCCTGTTGCAGTAGCTTGATTCAGTAAGATTGTTTGATTTAAGATCACATCAAAGTTCTTGCTGGATTAAAATCACATCAAAGTTCTGGACAGTTGTCACAAATGTAACGATGACTCCGCTTCAGTACAAGTTCGCACTCAACAATTATAGCACACTTGGTTACCGGTTTTTGCATGTTCTTGCAAACACGTGAAATTATATTGCTGTTGAAAAACGCAGTAAACACATACACAATCATTTTAACACGCCCTTTTGAAGTGTGGTTGTTGTGATACAACTTACATTTCCTGCCCATCCCTGAGAGTTATTGAGAGTGTTGTATGCTAGAAGAATGCTCGTGTAAATGATGACTTCGATTCCACAACACCGTTACTCTACTCGAATGGATCTGCCGGGCTGAGATATATATATTGCTGCTCTCCACCGCCATTCTTCTCCCGCATGCCGAGCTGGATATTGACGACTTACATTGGCCCAGAGCATGCGCCTGGACTCGGCAGTTGACGGGAAAGCCTGAAGGCAACTGACAACGAGATCCAGGACAACGAGCTAGATGAAGCATTTGGTCTATGAAGAAGTGTTTCGTCCGCTCACTCGCTCGGCCATGCTCTCACGTTAGATTGTACAAGTTTATTTCCAGCCATCATTTGTGATTTTTCTTCCAGTTTGACAGACATTCAACTCAGGAAATTTAACTATACTGTAGTAAGTTGCATGTGAAATGCAGAATCTCCATGTATTGCTGAACGTACTCCATGTATATCATCTGAATGTCCATCATAGAGATTTGCACATCGAAGCAACGTGATCTTATTCGTACTGATCAATAATTAGGATGAAAAATTTGTACATCCTCTGTTCCCCAAACGTACCTTCGTTGGCAAACAGAAACCCTCCATTCACCAACGATAAGTGGAAGAGCAAAGCATCATTCTTTAACATGGGTGAACAAGTGACATACGAAGTAATCTAACAGTAATGGAGATCACGTAATCGGAGTCCGTCGACTGACAAGGAGACTTAAGTTTGTCTAGACTAACAGTGGACTGAACTCTGTGTGTGCTGCAGCTGTGAACCGAAACAATAATCGAACAAAAGAACTAATCAAGCTTTTGAACATCACTGTGAAAGTGTGCCGATGTACGATTCACATAAAGACCATTTAGTCTATTTAACAGAAGGTACCAAAACACAAATGCTGTTACGTTTACAAAAAATGCTTGCACTTGCAATTTCTCATCGAGGAAAAAAAACTGTGGCCTAATTTCAGCTTCAAATTGGCAACTTTTTCCTCTTCCTCTGCTTCTCTACTGCGTCCAAGAAGCTTGTGGGAACCGTTTTAGGGTCATCCTGTGCAATGAAGGACCTAGGGTCGGTTGATTATTCAACCCCCATCCATAGGATCCAGGATTTATCCATATGGATCACTCCTGGATGCATTTTCCAACTGCAGGTACTATAGACTCTGTAGAACCTGCCATTGCTCACAACCACTCTACTCTCCAGTCACCTGGAAGATTGGCAACATCTTCAACAGTATTGAGGTCAGAACCCTCTATTTAGCATTTTATAAGCTTGAAGTCACACCAAGTGACATGCTTCCTACGTCTTCACTTCTCAGCAACAATCACATTTCTAGGTTGCTGAGAACTTAGGTACCGATCGCACTCAGAGGTGTGATCAGTACCTCATTTCTTAAGTTGCAAATCACACCTCTGAGGAAATCATAATTCAACCTGATATTCTTACTCTGATTGCTCTACTAACTTGACAGCAATAATAACCACTCGAATCTCGGAGGAGTTCCCCGTAAAACCTCTGTTAAGATCGCCCACGGTGTTGCTGCTTGGGATAGGAAATTACACTTTGAGCTCGACACACAAATCCGACACCCAATACTGTACAATGATCGCTGATCAAATCTAGCGACCAAGATGAAGTGAAACCCGTATATATATACAGCAGATTAGTGTCTACTAGTATAATGGTCTGACTCCCAGAGTAATTCACAACACAAGCGACAGTCAAATATATGATCAGTCCCATCCAGAAGAGACAGCAGACTTATAGCTGGTGCCATGATCGTCACGCCACGCATCTTTGTGGTTTATCGCCTATGCATACAGAGTTTCTGACGGTCAGAAAATCAAATGTGTTTCCAATTCTGTTTCTCCGTCCACTACAGACTATGGGCAAGCAGAATACATGCAAACTTGTCCATTCGCATGCACCCTTTAGTAATTGCATTGCTCATTACCATTAGTAGCAAGTGAAATGCTAAACTCAATGAAAGCTGTTGACAGAGATAGCGCAGTCTGATTGTTTGAAAAATTCAATTTATTCTACACTCATAAAGCATTTCTGAAAAATGTCCTGATCAACGTTGTTTCATCTTCTAGATGATATGGCCAAATGAGATTGAGTAATTACAAAGTGAACTTTCTATATGCCCCAGAAACGACTGCCCATCTAAAGTCGATTGTAAGCATCATCTGAACTACTTCAGTACCATCTATGCAAAAGCGGCCTCCCAATTTGATGTGTATCCTAGACACACTGCTTGAGCTTCACACTATGGCTGCCGAGAGTACTTGAACATACTGCCGTCTATATAGAAATTATCAGGCATGTCCAAAACAATTGAACTCCATCACCCAGGGATTCAAACTGCTGGGAATGATCATGGTTCTAACGATCACAAATTAGTAAGCAGCCATTGTAATCCACGCTGTCCTAATTGCCTGAGTAAAGCACGTGCCCTCGCAAGACCAGGTGCAAATTCCACGACAATAAGGTCTTCAACAGGTTGCCAAACTTCACATAATTAAAAAATACTCAAGCAATCATGAGTGAGTGGTGTTCGCTAAAAAAAGCCTGAATCAAATGAGCTGGATCTGACAGTTCCAACTACAAAGAAGGAATGAAAGAATCTAGAAAGATAGGTAGATTTCAAACATCGGTAGATCTGCTTCAGCTCTCTCCATTTAATTGTGAATTTACACGGCATTTCCTCCAGCTGTGGTTGTCCTGAGTAAGGTTAGTCAAGTGCACTTACATCTACCCAGGAACGGAGACAAATCTCAGCAATAACAAGCTGAAAGGCCAGTGTAAACACAGAAAGTGAACATCCATCCACAAAATCTCAGGTACAGAACTGTACTAATCTCTGTACTAAATTTCCATACTCACCATCACTATGATGTTAACATCTCGATATTCACAAATATGCTGTACAAAAATTTTCATGGAGTTCAGACGACTGATTAGTTAGTTGCACCATTTCTGTAGGAAGTTGAACTCGTGTCGATGTAGATATTTTTTTAAACTGATCTCGATTTGATTCTAATGACACTTGTTTGATAATTTCTCTCTCTTTTCAGAGTTTCGAAACAATTATACGTGCCACCGAAAATGCCTATGCCGCTTTCTCATGGGTGGCTCCGGGCTGATTCAGAAAATCCAAAACTTCCAGCTTTGTCTTCACGTCCAAACGCTTGCGTTTAGATATGTGTGAGTAATAACGGATGCAGATTAAGAGAAAAAAAAACTCCCACCGAACAGGAACAGATTGCGTCGCGAGAGACAAAAATGGCCACCTAATGCATAACAACAGTGACAGATTGCAACAAGAGAGAAAGAAGCCCTCACCGAACGCACTGTGACAGATCGCAGCGAGAGAGAAAGAGAAGCCCACCAAACGCAAATAGCATGGGAAAAGATTTGATATCCTCTTGTGAGTGACAACTCCGAATAGTGACATAAAACCCTAGAACGGTGATGTGTCACTATCGAGAGGTTTAACTCTGTACAAACAATCGATGCGGACAATACAAGAATACAGTTGCAATCAAGTGAGGGACGACAAAATCATCGGAGAAGAAAACGACAGATCATTGCCACATCTTAATGAGTTATCACGCAGAGCCCATCGTATACATTTCTGGGAGCACCAACATTTCATGAAGTGACGGTTCCGACAAGTACTCATTAACCAAGATCTCCGCCGGCTCCACATAGATTTCGTCAAAGCCAGTTTCTTCTGCCATCCTGCATATCTTCACAGGAGGCTCACATGCGAAGGACCCATTCTGTACCAGTCAAACACCGAAGGCTCCTTCTGAGATTGAAAACACGAATCCAAACATGACTGTTTTATCGATGTTGATAGCTTTGTCAGCAACTAGACTTGTTAAAGACAGATCCAGTTCAACTGCGCACGGCTGAAGATGCCCAAAACCATTTGATAGTTTTAACTACCGACTGACGGTTTATACATCTACTTCTGAATCCGAATTGCAACATGGGTGAACACAAGAATGGCCACCCACTGCCGTGCTTTCGTGCAGAAGAAAGTCGAGCATCAGGACCCGTCTTGACCTGCCCGAAGATGATGATTGCGACGGCTGATGCGTTCGACGAGTGCTTCGAAGCATGGAAAGCAGAGGAGCTGGTCAAGTTCATGGAGCTGTTCCTGGTCGTCCCGATGCAGGAGGCAACGAGTTCGGACAACACCGATCGAGAAATTACTCCTTTGAGCTCTTCCATACAGATCAGTACGGACTTTACCCTCTAGGACCCGATCCGACCCGAACCCGATCGGAGCCCTAGCCCCCATGGACATGTCAATCACCTCATCGACTGGATCTGACTCGAAGTTTTTTCTTTTGTCTTACCAGTGTTGTGAAACTGTGAAGATATAAGCTGACGCGTTGATGTGGAATCATTCAAAACGATTCAAATCAAAGGCCAGGCGAGGCCGGAAAAGACCAAATCCAGACCCAACCCGAGGGTCAAGGGAGAAATGAGAGGGCTACTCACTCCTTAAAAAACAAATTTCTGAAACAACAAACGGGAAAGCGTAGCCATCACGAATGTGGACAATGACCAACCTATAGTACTTGATGGGGACCATGACTCAATGTCTTGCAAGTTATCATGTGCCTTTCATTTTATATCCGTATGAATGTTGGACAAATTGGCAAAATTTATGGGAATGATAAATAGATCAAACCCGTGGGACCAAAACAGAAAACAAACAATCCAACCTAGGAGAGAACCAAAAGAACACCTAGCCAATGCCAAGAGCAATAATATAGACTAGCAACTCGTCGCTATTTTAGAGAGAATATCTTCCACTTTAGAGGCGGCACTATATTTGGATGCGCTCTCGTGAGTCTCTACGTGCCCTACACCTGGCAACCGTGCTGTGGACTATTCTAGACACGTGAGAACTGGATGTTGCTTCTGGCACTTTAATAACTTCAATTTATCTTTGGTTCTCTTCTTTCACTCGTCATTGCACCAAGCGCTGTAAGCTATACAAGCTGTGGAAATTGTGGTAATAATTTCCATCACCTTGTCACCAGCCTGCAATCAGCCAAACGGTGCTTATCAGTCCACGGACGTAAAACCTGCGTGACAACACAACTCTGGCAGAAAGAAGAACGTGATTTAGAGAATGGTACCTGTCGCACGAAATGCCATGCCTTGTCCTTGGCCTCAGCAGCCTTGTCCTTGGTCGTCTGGGCGGCATCAGATGTGGCCTGACCGGCCTGGTTGGCCTTGTCCTTGGCAGCCTGCCCCATTCCCTCAGCGTGTGCCTGGGCCTGCACCGTCTTCTCGGGTACTAAATTCTTGGTCTGCTCCGTGGTGTGAGGAGCGGAGTCCATAGCGCTCTCCATCTGATCAAATAATACGAGTGAAAGGAAACTGTGAGTAGTGTGTGATGCTGATCCAGTCCCCAGGCCAGAAAACACGGCCTATCAAACTTTGAATCAAACTTTGAAGCTGAGTGAACAATAGTACGACGTGGCAGTGTGCATCGACAAACTGTGATCTGCTGATCCAACGCGCTAACCTTGGCCAGAAAACACGGCCTACGGTCAGCCACAGCTGCTTTACTCAAGTTTGGTCCAAACCTGCGAATCACAAAAAAAGGCAAGGAGGTAGCCGAGGCGGACTTCCAGTGTCCGACCTCCTGCTGATCCTTCGGGGTTTTATCGATGGTTTTTCGATGGTTGGGGTATGAATGGCACGGTACGAGCTGATGAAGCTGCTGTCAAATCTGGATTTGAATCAAACTTTGAAGCTGAGTGAACAATAGTACGACGTTGCAGTGTGCATCGACAAACTGTGATCTGCTGATCCAACGCGCTAACCTTGGCCAGAAAACACGGCCTACGGTCAGCCACAGCTGCTTTACTCAAGTTTGGTCCAAACCTGCGAATCACAAAAAAAGGCAAGGAGGTAGCCGAGGCGGACTTCCAGTGTCCGACCTCCTGCTGATCCTTCGGGGTTTTATCGATGGTTGGGGTATGAATGGCACGGTACGAGCTGATGAAGCTGCTGTCAAATCTGGACTTGAATCAAACTTTGAAGCTGAGTGAACAATAAATAGTACGAGCTTGCTTCTATAAATGGACATCCCCCGTCTTCATCTATAAATGGATGAAGACGACGATGAAGCTTCGACGAAGCTCCGCTCGCACCTCAACTAAAACTTCGAGTCGAAGACGTGCAGTCGAAGACGGCTCGGCAGGCTTGTGCAGAATCGGACGGCTCGGCAGGTTTGTGCAGAATCGGACGGCTCGGCAGGTTTCTGTAGACCCGTCATGGCTGATATTTGACCTTTAGACAAGTGCAAATGTCCTCGTTGACTCTCAACGAAAAGAAGAACTTGCGTGACGGCTCACTGCAGGATGACACCTGCCTCGTCTATGAAGGCCCTATATAGTATATAGGAGCTATGGATAAGTTTGTGCAACAAAACCCGTCTATCGTGAATTGCCCCAAAAATGACGATTACGCGACCCGTATCCCATCCGACGGCTTCTAGAGTGTGGCCGATCGGCGGGTGAGTTCTTCACGGACGATTACGCGACCCGTATCCCATTTGACGGCTTCTAGAGTGTGGCCGATCGGCGGGTGAGTTCTTCACGGTCGGAAGGATCTATGATGAAATAGATCCAAGATACCCGATCCGAAGCGTCTTCACGGTCGGAAGGATCTATGATGAAATAGATCCAAGATACCCGATCCGAAGCGTCGTCGTCAGCGGCGGCAACTCCCGCGAGAGGGCCGCGCGCGCGACGGACCGATTGTCCTGCCCTGTCTGTCCGTCGGCGATCGTCCTGGTGCCTGCTGCTGCGTGCCTGCCAGCACCCGGGCCCCGACCTAACGTTGGCAGCTCGCAGGCGTCAGTCGGGTCAGGCACTCAGGCAGGCACCGAGGGTGAGGGATGGCGGGGGGCAACGAGAGGCGCACGACAGGCAGAGAGGCCCACGGTGGGCACGCAGTGCGCCTCAGTAGGCTTGGCCACGGTCCGGACCGCCGGTTAACCGTCGGGACCCCTAAACCGGTCCCAGATTTCTCCGGATCGGTTAAGCGTTCGGGAAAAAAATTTACTAAAATTTCCAGCGAGGTACCCATTTCGTGATTCAGTGTGAGAAAATTAGCCAGAAATTTTTTCCACAAATTGGTACAATTCAGCTCGAGTCTCTGAACGTCCAACCGTGGGTTCATTTGAGTCGCGGCCCACCTCTTTCCCTCCGCCATCGAGAATTTTTAGTTATTAAACACCTCCCCGTCGGTCACGTCCGGACAGAGAATTTTTAGGTATTAAACACTTCTCCGTCGGTCACGTAGGGATCCGGACCGATGGTTAATCGGTTAACCGTCGGGACCGGTTAAAAATATCGACTAACCGTAACCGATACGGACCAATCCTGGACCGGTTAATATACCGGTTAACCGGACCGGTTAGCCGGTCCACAAATTTTCCGGACCGTGGCCAAGCCTACGCCTCAGTGCCAGGACCCAGCACGCCCGAGCGCATCCCCACACGCCCTCCCTTTCCCGCACCCGTATCTCGCGTGGCATCGATGATGTCTTACATCGGGACCCGGCTCCCCCACCCCCAGCTACGCTTGGCCACGGTCCGGTTAACCGTTAACCGGACTGTGGCCAAGCGTAGCTCGCGCATCCCATCCATCCATGCCCCATCTGCAGCCCAAGATAGCTGGCACTCCGCCTACTCTGCAGCGGGCCCACCGCGCCATGCCAGTCACGCGCACCCGAGCGTGCGCCTAAAAGCGTGCGTGCGTCCCAACTTTAACCGGCCCGTCCCCATCCATCCACCACCACGGCGGTGCCCCACAATGTCTATCGAGTAACTGCCGTGAATCGTGAGGAATTTTTTTCAAATTCTTCGGGCGAGGAATAAACCTTGGGAAGTATGCGCGACCCACCCTCCACCTTTCTCCCCCGTCCTCCTCCCCATCCCCCTCGTCCTCCTCCTGCTGTCAGTTCTCCATCGCAATATCGTTCTTCCAATGATGATGGCCTTGTCGGTTTCTTCGCTCTAAATCATAGGCTTGGTCACGGTCCGGACGGTTAACCGGTCCCAGATTTCTCCGGATTGGTTAACCGGTCCGTAAAAAAATTTCCTCTGGCAACAAAAATAGACTAGCGAGGTACTCAATTCGTGATCCAATTGTGAAAAAATTCGCGAAACTTTTTTTTCACGAATTGGTACAACTCAACTGGAGTCGCTGAACTCTGAAAGTCCAGCCGTGATGTGGTCTCATTTGAGTCGCAGCCCACGACTACTTATCAGTTTCATATCAGTTTCCCCATTTCCCATATTGGCAGGGAGCGAGGCAAACTGACGTGGCAGGCAGAAAGAAGGCTCCAGCCAGCCTGTTCTAGCCTGCAGTCTTGCATCCTCCTTGCGAACCATCTCATTTCCTAAAACCATAGTTTTTGGCTTTTGGCTTCCTAAAGCCAAAAAAATGGATTTGTTAGCAATAAACTCCTGATCTCGTAATCCGAATCCGTTAAACTCGTAATCCGAAAGACTAGACTCCCTTCTAGGGGTAGGGCGGCTGCGGGCTAGGGAGTTGTCGTCACTAAGGGAATTGTCGGCTGCGGAATTCTTTCTGAAAGTTCCGAGCCGGCAGCCGCAGGAGTTTATTGCGGCGCACGAGCCGGTCTCTTTTCCTCGCCACCTGCCGGACCTCGCTCCGCTTTGCCCTTCTCTTCCACCCCTCGCCACTAAGGGCTCCTCAAAAATGAGGGAACGCGACCTCTGCCCGCCCGGCCATCCCTAGTCGGGCTGCGGGGGGAAGGGGGGATGGGGTCGGAGATGGGGGAGGTCGGGCTGCGGGCAGAGGTCGCGTTCCCTCATTTTAGAGGAGCCCTTGGTGACGACGCAGGCCGGCCCACAGGGCCATACCACATTGAACCTTCGCGGTCATTTCGGCCCACAGGGCCATACCATACTCCCGGCAGCACAGGACAGCACTCCAAAAAGGAGTAGTGTACTCCAAAAAGGTGGGAAAGTACACCGACCTTGGAGGAGTAACCCTGGAGTAGTAACCCCGAAAGTACACCTGGAGTCCATATATATATTCCGGTAAAAGTGACACTTCCGCGAATCAAACTACCAGGCACTTCCGCCTTCGCGGAAGTGCCTGGTAGTTTACCACACGAGAATTTAGACTGACGTAATTGGCAAACCACCTTCATGTCAAATTGCTAGGTGGCAAAGACACCCATTTATGCTAGGTGGCAAAGATATCCACAGCTCCGAGCAGAAAGATCCACACACAGGTGACATGTCATTACTAACCACCTCCCCTTTCCGGAATATATGGACTCTTCAGTCGCATGTCATGACTAGGGTTATGGATTATACTCAGCTTCGAAATTTGGTGAGTTTAATATTATACACAATTGATTTTGTACAGTGATTTGGACGCTCTCATTACGAATCACACGTGGGAATTTGATGAACTTCCTAAAGCCAAAAAGGTGCTGATTTCATGTTGGATCTACAAAGCAAAACAAGAGTTAAACTCCCCACGGATTCGTTTGAAAGCTAGGCTTGTTGCTCGTGCCTTGAAGCAAACGTATGGAGTCAATTACAACGAGACGTTTGCTCCTGTGGTTTGTCGGTCAACTCTTCAAACAATGATAGCATTATCTGTTACTCTTCGTTGGACTTTGCATCACATGGATGTTATCACTGCCTTTTCGAATGAAAAACTAAAAGAACAGATCTACATGCAGCAACCTCCAAGCTTTGAAGAACCAGGAAAGGAGCACTTGGTGTGCCTACTTAAAAGATCTCTTTACGGGCTCAAACAATAAACTCGTCAGTGATATGAGGAGATTGACACATACCTTCGTTCCAACGAATGTACCAGAAGTCAAGATCCTAAATTATACTTTCTATGTAGAGATAAAACTATCATTGTACTTTTACTCTACGTTGATGACTTGCTAGTTTTTGGTGATAGTTCTTCTTGTGTTGCTGAGATCAAATCTCAACTTAGCTTACGATATAAGATGAAAGATTTAGGTAGGGTCTCTCGGTATCTCGGGGTCGACGTCGTGCACATCACTACTGGCGGGGTTTTTCTGCATCAAATGAACTACACCACGGCCTTACTCAGTGAGTGCAACTCGGACATTGAATCAATTCCGCTTTCTACTGATCTTGTTCTCGAGGCAGATACAAGTACTCCACCTGTTGATGGCTCAAAATATTGTCACCTGGTTGGTAAGCTTATCTTCCTTTGTCACACTCGACCTGATATTTCATACGCTGTTGGACTTCTCAGTCGGTTTATGCATAAACCACAAATGGCTCATTGGGATGCAGTTCAACATCTACTCCGATATCTCAATGGCACTGTGAACTATGGATTACTTTACCAGAAAGGAAACCCACATATTCAAGGCTATAATGATGCAGATTACCCTAGTTGTCCTAACACCCTTCGATCCGTTGGAGCTTATATGTTTAAGCTTGCAAGCGGTCCTCTATCTTGGTCATCGAAGTAACAACCCACGGTGTCTGATAGCACAACTGAAGCTGAATACAAGGCCTTCTCAGAAGGGGGCAAAGAGGCTGTGTACCTTAAAAGGTTAATACAAGAATTGGAAATCCTTCCTTCTCTGAAGGTTCCAATTTCTTGTCCTGATTCTACCATAGTTCAGAACTTAAGAGATGCAGCTACACCGAACATTGCAGATTTGCACCTATTTTGCGACAATCAGAGTGTTATTAAGCTAGCCAAAAACCCTGTGTTCCAGGCCAAGACCAAGCACATCGAAAGCAGACACCATTTTATTCGAGAAAGAGTGTTAGAGGGAGACACTGAACTCAAGTACATTCACACTGAGGAAAACACTGCAGACTTACTCACCAAGTCACTACCAAGACATAAATTTGAAAAACATAGAAAATCTATTGGAGTATGCTCTTTATCTGATATTCAAGCTGTCTCTTTAGAACATTAGTTTCCAATGCTCTACCCCTAGAATTTTCCGGTACTACCCTCAAGAGGGGATGTTGTTAGTAATTAGTTACCGAGTGTAGTATAGTGATCAGTATTAGGATAGGATTAGATTAGGATAATGTTCTGTTAGATCTCTTGTGTCTTCTTCTGTGGTCGATAGCCTTCTCGACCATCTTATCCCTTTGCTACTTAAGGGACCTCTCTCTCTCTCTAATCTATCATCGAGTCTAGATTTTACTTTCAACAAAACCATATGAAGGATGGGCGCAATCAGGAGAAGCTTTGGTTCTCTTCTTTCACTCGTCATTGCACCAAGCGCAGTAACCTATACAAACCGAATCTCCATCACCTTGTCACCAGCCTGCAATCAGCCAAACGGTGATTATCAGTCCACGGACGTAAAACCTGCGTGACAACACAACTCTGGCAGCTGCAACTTCACATGCTGAAAGAAGAACGTGATTTAGAGAAAGGTACCTGTCGCACGAAATGCCATGCCTCGTCCTTGGCCTCAGCAGCATTGTCCTTGGTCGTCTGGGCGGCATCAGATGTGGCCTGACCGGCCTGGTTGGCCTTGTCCTTGGCAGCCTGCCCCATTCCCTCAGCGTGTGCCTGGGCCTGCCCGGTCTTCTCGGCTCCAAAATTCTTGGTCTGCTCCGTGGTGTGAGCAGCGGAGTCCTTGGCGCTCTACATCTGATCAAATAATACGAGTGAAAGGAAACTGTGAGTAGTGTGTGATTCTGATCCAGTTCTAGCCCTCAAATCTGGATCTGAAACCAAACTGGAAGCTGAGTGAACAATAGTGTTCGAGCTTGCAGTGTGTGTGATGTTCACCGAGTTCAAGCTACTTATACTTTTGGCTAGATCAAGCAAGTTCCGACTGTCTTCCGGAACTTCCGGAACACGTTAACACGGGCGACACAAATCTGCTCAATAATAACAGGCGCCATCATCCTCGAAACTTTCTTTCGTATGAAGCATTCGTCAAGGTTGTCCGTGTTATTACAAAATGATGCATGTCCCCGAATTTATCACCGATGCCCAAGTTAGGGAGTTTGACCGAGGTATGTGCAGCACCGATGTGGTCCAAAGTCTTCAGATTCTCTACCGCCATTCATCTCCCGCATGCCGAGCTAGAGATTGACGACTTTCATTTGCCCAGAGCATGCGCCTGGACTCGGCAGTTGACGGGAAAGCCTGAAGGCAGCAGATCCAGGACAACGAGCTAGATGAAGCACTTGGTCTCTGAAGAAGTGTTTCGTCCGCTCACTCGCTCGGCCATGCTCTCACGTTAGATTGTACAAGTTTATTTCCAGCCATCATTTGTGATTTTTCTTCCAATTTCACAGACTTTCAACTCAGGAAATTTAACTATACTGTAGTGAGTTGCATGTGAAATGTGGAATCAATTGCTGAACGTAGTCCATGTACATCATCTGAATGTAATACTGAATGTCCATCGTCGAGATTTGCACATCGAAGCAACGTGATCTTATTCATACTGATCAATAATTGGATGAAAAATTTGTACATCCTCTGTTGCCCTAATGTACCTTCGTTGGCAAACAGAAACCCTCCATTCACCAACGATAAGTGGAAGAGCAAAGCATCATTTTTTAACATGGGTGAACAAGCGACATACGAAGTAATCTAGCAATAATGGAGATCACGTAATCGGAGTCTGTAGACTGACAAGGAGACTTAAGTTTGTCTAGACTAACAGTGGACTGATCTCTGTGTGTGCTGCAGCTGTGAACCGAAACAATAATCGAACAAAAGAACTAATCAAGCTTTTGAACATCATCGTGAAAGTGTGCCGATGTACGATTCACATAAAGACCATTTAGTCTATTTGACAGAAGGTACTAAAACAAAAATGCTGTTACGTTTACAATTTCTCATCGAGGAAAAAAAACTGTTGTCTAATTTCAGCTTCAAAATGGCTACTTTTCCCCTTCTTCTGCTTCTCTACTGCGTCCAAGAAGCTTGTGGGAACCGTTTTGGGTCATCCTGTGCAATGAAGGACCTAGAGTTGGTTGAGTATTCAACCCCCATCAATATGATCCAGGATTTATCCATATGGATCACTCCTTGATGCATTTCCTACAACTGCAGGTACTATAGACTCTGCAGAACCTGCCATTGTTTACTACCACTCTACTCTTCAGTCACCTGGAAGATTAGCAACATCCGCGACAGTATTGAGGTGAGAACCCTCTATTTAGCATTTTATACACTTGAAATCACACCAAGTAACATGCTTCCTACGTCTTCACTTCTCAGCAACACTCGCACTTCTAGGTTGCTGAGAAATTAGGTACCGATCGCACTCAGAGGTGTGATCAGTACCTCATTGCTTGAGTTACATATCACACCTCTGAGTACATCATAATTCAACTTGAACTTCTGACTCTGATTGCTCTACTAACTTGACAGCAATAATTACCACTCGAAACTCGGAGGACTACCCCGTAAAAGCTCTGTTAAGATCGCCCACGGTGTTGCTACTCGGGATAGGGAACCGGAAACCGTTTTTAAGTTGAACTTTAAGCTCGAAACACATATCCGACACCCAATACAATGATCGCTTATTAATGCTCGCGACCAAGATGACCTTAAAGTCTTAGGTCACCTTGGTGTAGATATAAGGGTTTCTGGCTTAAACCCCATATATCTACACCAGATTACTATCTACTGATATAATGGTCTGACTCCCAGAGTAATTCACTACTGTACACAAGCGACAGTCAAACATATGATCAGTCCCATCCAGAAGAGACAGCAGACTTAGAGCTGGTGCAATAATCGTCACGCCACGCATCTCTATGGTTTATCGGCGATAAACCATAGAGATGCGTGGCGCGATAAGTTATCGCGCATAGCGCATACATCACTGGGAGCACCAACATTTCATGAAGTGATGGTTCCGACAAGTACTCTTTAGCCAAGATCTCCGCCGGCTCCACGTAGATTTCGTCAAAGCCAGTTTTTTTCTGCCATCCTGCATATCTTCACAGGAGGCTCACATGCGAAGGCCCCATTCTGCACCAGCCAAACACCGAAGGCTCCTTCTGAGTTCAAAACATGAATCCAAACGTGATAGCTTTGTCAGTAACTAGACTCGATGAAGACAGATCCAGTTCAACTAGCGACGGCTGAAGATGCTCAAAACCATTTGATTCTTCGCACCTTTTATTTGGAAACAGGGAGCCACGCCATCAGCTTGTGGGAATTCAGAAACTTTGTGTGAAGTCTCTTCACTCAAAGTTTCTATAAGCGCTGCGTAGAGCGGCGCGAGCTCCAGCCGGCTTCGGCATGGATGCCTCGCCTCCCACTCCTTCCAGTCCTCCTCGCTGAATTCGATCTGCTGCCCGTCCGAGGCTCTGCTCGTCGCCTGTCGAATCGCCTCCACGAGCTTCTGCACCGCCGGGGCCGCGTGTCGGAGAATTGCTTCGTCAAGAAGGACGAGGACGCAGTCTCTGTCACTCAAGTACATCGAGGCGATCTCGACCTCCTATGAAGCGACTTATTCATGGCTGGCTAGAGATGCTCATTGAAGCGTCCAGATTTTGAGAAATTAATGCAGTATCTGGAAATTGGCACTGTAGAGGTACTGCACCCACGGAGCTCCTATTGACAATTGACTTTCGAGTATCTCGAGAAAGCACTTCACGCTGGTTTCAATCACAGCATTAAAGCGACGAGGATCAGTAGCTAGAGACATGGTGTTCTTCATGGGGCAGAAAATGGGGCCACGGTCTGCCTTTGTTAAGGAGGCGCACATGCTCGTGGACTCGAGGACTCGAGGACCGCTACTTACAAACTCGAGTCTGCAATCTGGTTTCGAGTAGTCTCAACAATTACTTAGAGCATAATACGAAAATATTGCATCTGGTCACTATATAATCTGAAGAATGATCATTTTATACTCACCGTGAGTGGTGAGTCCATACTTGGGATTGGCCTTGAATTATCGAGAAAAGTTTGTAAGGCCACCTCCTGATTTTAGAAGGATGCTATGAATCATGTGGCTTTTCAAACTTTGAATCTCTTACACACTTGGAATTGGTTGGCAGTGTCTTGGTGTGGTTCGTCATCCTCCGTGTTCATTCCTTGTGAACGTTACGACATACTTAAAACCTATAATCAAAGTCAACAATGTAAAAAAACGTTGAATTCAAATTTTCATTAGAATTAGCCTGGCAAGTTTATCACCCCAAACCTAAATTTATAATCGAAATAAAATCCAATAATGTACAAAGTGATTGGGCCAACATATAATCCTTTGCATACCCAATATGCAATATTATACTTCATGTATATGAAGTATAATATTGAAAACAACCAATAGACATGAATGTATCATGACTCGCCTGATTTATAATATATTAGATGCTTATTGGTACCTAAATTGTTCCAAAGTTCTTAGGACAATTCAGTTACAATATGAACAAATGACCTATTGTAATAACCCACCAAAGGCTAAAACTGCAGTATGGTGGTAAAAAAGATCGAACCCACAGGGACAGAGGCAACACACAGAGAACAAAGTGTCACTTTTAACAGACTTTTGGAGAGTTTGAATTCTCAGGCGACTGTCACTCCCAGAAATACTGCAGTGCTCGACTCGGAGGCCACTCGGAGGATGCTCGACTCGGAGGTCACTCGGAGGATGCTCGACTCGGAGGATGCTCGGATGATGCACAGTACAGCGTAAGTCACTCAACACACACACACACACCTGAAATTGGAAAAGCACAACTCGGAGGTCGGTCAAGACCTCCGCTTAGGATTTCAGGGGGGAAAGTATCTCAAAAGTTCACTCAGAGGCTCTGCAGGTAGTGACTCCCACTCCGGCTTTTACAGCCCTTCCGCCAGGAACTAGCGTAGGGAACGCGGACTGGACTTCCCACTTCGGAACGAAGTCCCTCATACGCAGTGGACGTCACTCTCGACTCACACCAAGCGCAGAGAGTACAGGCCCGACTGAGAACTCAACTGAGACACAATCCCGTAACACACACACACAACCTGAATTGATAACCAAAGCTTACACGAAGTAACAAAACTTCACTTTTGCATTCAGGGGAAACTTCCCGTAGGAGTACAATCAGGATATGTCACTCGAAGGAGTAAGGGGAAACTGTTCAAGTATCTAACTCGCAACCGGCTCTGAGCATCAGAAATCACCCGCAGGTGCAGATCCGCACTACTCAAGTCTCTAACCGGTGTACTAGCTCTGAACATTCAGCCGAAGGCCTTCAGCTACAACATGCGGTAACTTCACTATGCTGCAGCTCCTCTACGCGGTGCCAGGACCAAATGCACAAACACGCCGAGAAAGTGAGTTCCTGATCTGCACTTCCGAAACTGGAAGAATCCCAAGGCAAAACGCCTTGAACTACTTTATACCCTCTAAGGTCCTAACTAACACTACGCTGCACTATCTGCTACCCTAAACTTCTGCACGAAACCAAGCTACACTACTGCACTCTGCAGATCCGGTGCTGCGCCTCTTGCGCGTCGGACTGCCTCGCACTTTCTCTCTACCCTGCCAATCTTCCGACCGGCTGCGTAACCCTAGCCGCCGAAGGACTGCAGTCACTTCCGACTCCAAGTGCGCCATAGTGTCGCGCGCACCCGACAAGAAGGCTTCTTATTTCCTCGCTACTCGCCGCCGACTCCGACTGTCACCCTCCGTCAATGCCGCCGCCCGAAGCTCAAACTCCCTGAGCGTGATCTTCTCTTGTGCCGCCACTTCCCAATGGGCGTATCCTCTTAGACAGTGAGTCACCCGTGTCACCAACTCTTCTCGCGTCCGGCTGCTGCCTTCCACCTCTGCTAGCTGCATCTCCGCATCTGCGCGCTGCGCCCTCAATTCCGCGCACTCGGATTGCAAGTTGCGCAACAACTCCTCATCCTCCTTGCGCGTGCTTTGACTTTCCTCTAATGCGCGCGTCTGGCGCGCAAGCTCCTTTGTTAGAATGCGGTTTTGTCTCCGCTCTTCCTGCAATTCCGACTCGATCTTTGCCCGTATTAGCTCGGCATCCGCCTGGGCTTTCATCGCCACATCCTCCCGCTGTTGTTGCAGGGTTTGGTGTAGCCTCTGCGTGATCGCCAGGTGCTGGCGGAGGGCAGTGTACCTATCTTGCAATGTTTGGCACCTAGTGGCCCAAGTGGCCACCTTGCTCCTCGTCCTGCTCTTGACAATCTCCACATAAGACTGCATTTTTCTGGAACTTGAGTACTTTGCTGTCTTCCGATCCAAATATCGCAGAAGTGGCACTATCTGCTCGCACAGTACCCCTGTTGGCGTCTTCTGCACAGAGTCCGCTTCTTGCTCTTCCGAACTCGTCTCATCCTCTGTTTCGAGTATTTCAGTCGCCACATAATCTCTTGGCGACTCCCTGGAACTGTGGCGCGCGGCAGCTTCCGCCGCGACTGTCGCTCCACTCCCTGCTAAAATATCCAAGGCAGTGGGGGATCCCATTGCGTTAGCCCCTGTTCCGGCTCGATCTTCGGTTCTCGAAGGGGTCAGCGCCGTAGTTACTTTTGTCACCCTTGCACCGCCCGCTTCTACTGCCTGTTCTTCCGACGCGATCTGCTCGGAAGGTGTCTTCGCCGGAGGTGTGTCCGCCGAAGGCGCCCGCACAATGGTCGCCGGCCTTGTCCGGTTTGCAGTCGGCGAATCTGGCCGACTCTCAATTGACCGACTCGCAGTCGGCCGACTAGCAGTTATCCGTCTGGCGGTCGGATCCACCCTGCGCGTCTTCACTCCACTTGGTCTGCTTGCTGGAGGCGTTTTCCCAGAAGCGCCTTCTGCCGAAGACGACCCTCTGAGAGTTGTTGGCTCGTCAGCCAAACTCCCTTCTGCTTCCGGCCTGCTGTCCGGTTCAACGCGCTGCTCAGTTGGCCGTTCTTCAGTTGGCCGTCCTTCAGTCGCCCGACTCGCAGTCGGCCGACTGTCAGTTCGCCTGTCTTCTTCTGGAGGCATCGGTGCCTTCTGCGCAGAGGGGTTCGCCGACCTCTCCAGAATCTGCGCGATTATCTCCTCCAGCGTGGGCAGGATACTCCGTCGGACTGTAGTACGCCCAGTCTCCTCACCACTAGTTGGCAACACCATTTTGCGTGCCCTCTGTTTCGGCCGGCTGTGAAGCTCGTTGGTTGGCCGACTCCGAGTCGGCGCAGCGGGAGCTTCCGGCTGCCTGTCTTCAGGTCTCTCATCCCATTTCCGCTTCCGCGGTGCGCGCTCACTTCGACGCTCATCTGCTGCTCTTGCCGGAGCCGGAGCTGGAGCTGGAGTTGGGCTGGCAGGTACTTCGTCCGGATCTGTGTCCACTTCGGCCTCCCGCAAGTATCTACCTGGATAACTCCGGGTCACCAGCGGAAACCGTGTCCGCTCTGAAGTTGTCAAACATCCCATCGCTCGATAAAACACGATCAGGTAAGGCGAAAGATGATTGAGGGTACCTCCTCTCTCTTCTTGCGCATGTTGGCGCGTCACCTTCCACAGGAGCCGTGCCCAATGAACAGGAGCTCCTGACAACACTAGCTCCACAAATCCCACTTGCCAATCATGCATGTAGGCGGTCTTGGTCGGCTGCAATATCTGAAGCAATGCAGTCGCGACATTTCTCCGCAATCGATCTTTGTAATCCCGCGTCCGGAAACCATTCTTGGGATGCCTGGCAACTTTGAAAAGATCATTGTAGGAGACTTCTTCCTCCTTGGACACCTTCACGCTCTCGGCCTCGAAGAGGAGATACCCTTCCTCGCCTGCACACCTTCTTAACACCTGCGCCCAGTCACTAATGTCCCACCTCTCGGGATGTGGGCGGAATCCGCGCGAGGGCTTGTGTTTCTCCTGCAAATACTCGCGCACCATCTCCGGACACGTCCAATTCCATCCCCACAGGAGGAAATCAAGCTTCAACCTTGTCAACACATCTTGGAATGCGCGCAGACCGATCTGCGGCACTCTGAGTGGAGACACTTGCAGCTGGGGGACCTTCGACATCTTTCTTGCTTTTCCTGCACACACAGACGTTCTCCCTTCCGCTCGATCTTTCACAATCGCCGCTGCGCGTCGGTCGCTCAGACACTGACTGAAATCGCTCTCTCTTCTCTTGCGCGCTCAATTTCGCTGCTCGCAAACTCTCTGCAAGGTCCGTCAAGATCCTCGCGCAACTCGTCTCCGCACTCTCTCTTCTCACTGCAGGTCTCTCCGCCCTTGCGCTTAATCCCTGAAGCTGGAAAACTCACAATCAAGAATGAATGAATGAGACTGGAGAGCAGTCTTTTCTTCTCCGAATTCAAGTTCGCCCAACGTTCTCACTGGGTACAATCAAACTTGATTACGCAGCTGGCTATACGGCCTAACGGTTCTCCCTCGCATGCTCGAATTCACGACTCCGCACTGCGCGCATTCGCATGCGTGAACGTTGAATTCTCCCGCCGCCATCGTCTTCCGGACTCGAGTTCGCCGCAGTGGAGTGTATGCTTCGACTAGGTTGTCTTTTCCTAACCTGCCCATCGCCGGAGGCGTATCGCCGCTGGCGTATTCCTTCCCCGTCGGCGCCTCGCTGGATGCGCACATCAAGTCGGCGCGAATTACGCCGGCGCGTATTCGTACCACTTGTTTTGTCCGTTCTGCCCCGCATATCGCCGACGGCGCATATCCCGCCGGCGCGAATCATGCCAGCGCATCCGCCTGTCCGCGCCACGTCGGAGGCGTACATCCGGCCGGCGCTTCTCTTCCGTTGCG